ACTTTGTTAAAATCTAAAGATAGGGTGCTAGATGCTTTCAAGAATTTTCAAAGTTATGTTGCTAATCACTTTCATGCCAAGATAAAAATCTTTAGGTCAGATAATGGAGGGGAATACACCAGCACAGCATTCAAGCAACATCTCAACGTGCAAGGCATTGTTCATCAAACCAGTTGTCCCTACACTCCTCAACAGAATGTGGTAGCTGAGAGGAAGAATAGACACCTAATGGAGGTGGCCAGGAGCATGATGTTCCACATGAATGTGCCTAAGCGCCTGTGGGGAGATGCAGTTGTTACCGCCTCTTATCTAATCAACAGGATCCCAACAAAAGTTCTCAGTGATATATCACCTTATGAGGTACTCAACAAAACTAGACCAAGTATAGACCACTTACGTGTGTTTGGTTGTATGTGTTTTGTCTTAACTCCAGGAGAACTGAGGAACAAGTTGGAAGCTAAGAGCACAAAAGCCATGTTTATTGGGTACTCTCCAACTAAAAAGGACTACAAGTGCTATGTTCCAGACACGAGGAGGGTTCTAATCTCAAGGGATGTGAAGTTTATTGAATCAAAAGACTATTATGATGAGAAAAGCTGGAGTGATCTCAAAGACTTATCACAATCAACCTCTGATAGGGCTAATAACTTGAGAGTGCTCTTGGAAAGCCTTGGCATTGGTATGTCAAAGGAACCTGAGGAGGTCAGAAAAGAACCTGTCCAGGTCAGAAAAGAACATGTCCAGGAGGAAGCAGAGGCTGTACAGGACACTGAAGTCACTCACCTTGATCCTGAGGGGGGACACCAGCCTGAGCAAATGCAACCTGAAGAACACCCTGAGCAAATGCAACCTGAAGAACACTCGGTTTATCATGATCAAGATGAGATGCCATCTCTTTTAGAAGAAGAGACCCAACCAGGCAACAATAGTGGTGCAAATGAGTCAGAATCTGATCAGATACAGCCCTTGAGGAGAAGTACAAGGATCAGGAAACCAGCATCAAACTGGACTAACAGGCAAGTTTTCTTCAATGCAAAAGCAGTGGCTCATCCGACTAGTGCTGTGTGCTCACTCGCTCATTATCCAGAGGAACAT